ACCTCAGACATGAGACAGGCAGCAACATGCCTGAGATTGACTGCCTACTCAATGAGACCTGCCATTTCACTGAAACTACCGCTGTGGCCTGGGTGGGATTGAGCTGGATAGAGTGGCAATCTCATTTTACAGATTCATCCCTAGAGTTGACCCCAATGTACCATAAGACAATGAGGAAATTAGGAACCCTTTGGACTGGCTGGGATACTGAATGCAGAGCACATGGCTATGTGCTGATTGGACTGCTCTTGTCACGCACATCCAATAGCACCTGTACTTCAGCCTGGAATTGGTCCATCTATCATTAGAGGGATGATATAACCAACATCTGTTTAACATGTTATTTTGTTCATTCTGTGGTGTATATCCAGCCTGTATTTTAATGTATACTACCGGGCAAAAGTTTTAGAACACCTACTCATTCAAGGGTTTTTCTTTATTTTTACTATTTTCTACATTGTAGAATAATAGTGAAGACATCAAAACTATGACATAACACATATGGAATCATGTAGTAACGACAAAAGTGTTAATGAGATTGCGTCATCTGTGGATCTGTTGGGGCAGTATGCGAATTGGAGTGGGTCTAGGGTTTCCAGGATGATGGTGTTGATGTGAGCCATGACCAGCCTTTCAAAGTACTTCATGGCTACTGACGTGAGTGCTACGGGGCGGTAGTCATTTAGGCAGGTTACCTTCGCTTTCTTGGGCACAGGGACTATGGTGGTCTGCTTGAAACATGTAGTTATTACAGACTCGGTCAGGGAGAGGTTGAAAATGTACACGTCCTGGTAATCCGTCTGGCCCCGCGGCCTTGTGAATGTTGACCTGTTTAAAGGTCTTGCTCACATCGGCTACGGAGAGCGTGATCACACAGTCGTCCTGAACAGCTGGTGCTCTCATGCATGCTTCAGTGTTGCTTGCCTCGAAGCGAGCATAAAAGGCATTTAGCCGGTGTAGTAGGATTCAATCTTAGTCCTGTATTGACGCTTTGCCTGTTTGATGGTTCGTCTGAGGGCATAGCGGGATTTCTTATAAGCGTCCGGATTAGTGTCCCGCTCCTTGAAGCGGAAGCTCTAGCCTTTAGCTCGGTGCGGATGTTGCCTGTAATCCATGGCTTCTGGTTGGGATATGTACATACGGTCACTGTGGGGACGATGTCGTCGATGCACTTATTGAAGAAGCCGGTGACAGAGGTGGTATACTCCTCAATGCCATTGGATGAATCCCGGAACATATTCCAGTCTGTGCTAGAAAAACAGTCCTGTAGTGTAGCATCTGCGTCATCTGACCATTTCCGTATTGAGCGAGTCACTGGTACTTCCTGCTTTAGTTCTTGCTTGTAAGCAGGCATCAGGAGGATAGAGTTATGGTCAGATTTGCCAAATAGAGGGCGAGGGAGAGCTTTGTATGTGTCTCTGTGTGTGGAGTAAAGGTGGTCTAGAGTTTTTTTTCCTCTGGTTGCACATGTGACATGCTGGTAGAAATGAGGTAAAATACGGATTTAAGTTTGCCTGCATTAAAGTCCCCGGCCACTAGGAGCGCTGCTTCTGGATGAGCATTTTCTTGTTTGCTTATGGCCTTATACAGCTCGTTGAGTGCGGTCTTAGTGCCAGCATCGGTTTATGGTGGTAAATAGACGGCTATGAAAAATATAGATGAAAAATCTCTTGGTAGATAGTGTGGTCTACAGCTTATCATGAGGTACTCTACCTCAGGCGAGCAATACCTTGAGACTTCCTTAATATTAGACATCGCGCACCAGCTGTTATTGACAAATAGAGACACACCACCACCACTCGTCTTACCGGACGCAGCTGTTCTGTCCTGCCGGTGCACAGAAAAACCCAGCCAACTGTATATTATCCGTGTCGTCATTCAGCCACAACTCGGTGAAACATAAGATATTACAGTTTTTAATGTCCAGTTGGTTGGATAGCCTCGAATGGCGCTCATCCAGTTTATTCTCTAGTGATTGCACGTTGGCCAATACAACAGATGGTAGAAGCGGGTTACCCACTTGCCGACGAATTCTCACAAGGCACCCCGATCTCCGCCCCCTGTATCTCCTTCTTTTCTTCACACGAATGATGGGGATTTGATCCTGGTCTCTGAGAAACAGTATATCCTTCATTAATGAAAAAATCTTTGTCCAGTTCGAGGTGAGTAATCGCTGTTCTGATATCCAGAAGCTCTTTTCGGTCATAAGAGAAGGTAGCAGCAACATTATGTACAAAATAAGTTACAAACAATGCGAAAAAACACACAAAATAGCACAGTTGGTTAGGAGCCCGTAAAACGGCAGCCATCCCCTCTGGCGCCATTCGAAATACACTACAAGTTTTACATTTCCTGCATTGCAGGAAAGTTATCCTGCAACAGGGTGATCAAATTAAGATCCTACATCTGTAGCAATTTTATGAAGTTGGCTTTAGCTATCCCAGATATGTTCCCAATCTCCCAACCTCATAACTAGCTACCAAGAAGACATTTCAGGCTATCAAGTTAGAGTAGCTTGTCTAACTATCTTAGCTGGGCAAGGTTGGTAGACTAGAAAAGCAAGCAATTACTAAATGTACTGAATAAGACTAATTCCTTTCAATATTTTACTCAGATTTTAGCAGAGATGCAGAGTAGCATATTTAGTTTCTTAAATAAAATAAAACACAAGTCAGTAGGATACAGACAGCTCAAGAGGTATGATTAGATATGCAGAAATAATTAAGCATAATGCTTATGGCTCTAGATTGTAGAAGAAAAAGCTGTTTCAGGTGTTTGAAAAATGCAAAATTTTCCAAATTCCATATGGAGGCCTAGCCCCCTCTGGCCCACCCACCAGCCATCCTCACATACTTTGTACAACCTCAGGTTTTTGGGCTGCATGACGCCCCTCTCTGACACAGAAATAGAAAGAGTGAAATTACCAAATAAGAACTGTTAAGATCTAAGAAACCTTTTTCAATACATACAGTGCCTTCGGAAAGTATTCAGACCCCTTGACTTTTTCCACATTTTGGTAGGTTACAGCCTTATTCTAAAATTGATTAAATTGTCCCACCCCCCCTCATCAATCTACACACAATACCCCATAATGACAAAGAAAATGTATTAATGCTCTACCAACTGTAGTTCAGTTGGTAGAGCATGGCGCTTGCAATGCCAGGGTTGTGGGTTCGTTTCCCACGGGGGGGCCAGTATGAAAATGTATGCACTCACTAACTGTAAGTCGCTCTGGATAAGAGCGTCTGCTAAATGACAAAAAAATATATATATATATATGACATTACATTAGTATTCAGACCCTTTACTCAGTACTTTGTTGAAGCACCTTTGGCAGCGATTACAGCCTCAAGTCTTCTTGGGTATGACGCTACAAGCTTGGCACAGCTGTATTTGGGGAGTTTCTCCTATTCTTCTCTGCAGATCCTCTCAAGCTCTGTCAGGTTGGATGGGGAGTGTTGCCGCACAGCTATTTTCAGGTCTCTCCAGAGATGTTCGATCAGGTTCAAGTCCGGGCTCTGGCTAGGCCACTCAAGGACATTCTGAGACTTGTCCCGAAGCCCCTCCTGCGTTGTCTTGGCTGTGTGCTTAGGGTCGTTGTCCTGTTAGAAGGTGAACCTTCGCCCCAGTCTGAGGTCCTGAGCGCTCTGGAGCAGGTTTTCATCAAGGATCTCTCTGTTCTTTGCTCAGTTCATATTTGCCTCGATCCTGATTAGTCTCCCAGTCCCTGCCGCTGAAAAACATCCCCACAGCATGATGCTGCCACCACCATGCTTCACCGTAGGGAAGGTGCCAGGTTTCCTCCAGAAGTGACGCTTGGCATTCAGGCGAAAGAGTTCAATCTTGTTTCTCATGGTCTGAGAGTCTTTAGGTGCCTTTTGGCAAACTCCAAGTGGGCTGTCATGTGCCTTTTACTGAGGAGTGGCTTCCGTCTGGCCACTCTACCATAAAGGCCTGATTGGTGGAGTGCTGCAAAGTTGTCATTCTGGAAGGTTCTCCCATCTCCACAGAGGAACTCTAGAGCACTGTCAGAGCTACCATCGGGATCTTGGTCACCTCCCTGACCAAGGCCCTTCTCCCCTGATTGCTCAGTTTGGCAGGGCGGCCAGCTCTAGGAAGAGTCTTGGTGGTTCCAAACTTCTTCCATTTAAGAATGATGGAGGCCACTGTGTTCTTGGGGACCTTCAATGCTGCAGAATTTTTTTGGTACCCTTCCCCAGATTTGTGCCTCGATACAAACCTGTCCAAATCATATCCAATCAATTGAATTTACCACAGGTGGACTCCGATCAAGCTATAGAAACATCTCAAGGATGGTCAATGGAAACAGGATGCACCTGAACTAAATTTCGAGTCACATAGCAAAGGGTCTGAATACTTATGTAAATAAGGTATTTCTGTTTTTTATTTGTAATACATTTGCAAAGATCTCTAAAAACCCGTTTTTGCTTTGTCATTATGGGGTATTGTGTGTAGATTGCTGATGTTTATTTTTATTTTTTATTAATCCATTGTAGAATAAGGCTGTAATGTAACAAAATATGGAAAAAGTCAAGGCGTCTGAATACTTTCCGAAGAGGGTTTGATTTGTCCAACATTGGTTCCATTAGCCTTTTTTCATCAAGTCAACTGCAACTGCAATGTATATTTCTTCAATAAGTAATTGCTTTGGATGCAACGATCTGGTCTCTCTATAGGCTAACTCAATAGTCCTCGCCTCTGGGTGTTCTGCCCTTATTGGATGATCATTTATCCAGAGGTGAACAATACGAACACACCATGTAAAACAAATTAGTTGAAAAAACAACACATGCATCATGAGAAAAAGGTCAGATGGCGTTAGACAATCGTGAGTTTGCTCACCAGTTGCGCACAAAGCTATGTCACACACATTATCTATTCTCATCAAAAATTCACATTTGATGCTATATAGAGAGTGGGGCGGAGCAAAACATTGGAATATAAATTGACCACAGCGCTATCGATTGACAGGCACACGAGAGAGACAACACTATAAAGTCCGTTACAACTTTGGCTTTGCTTAATAGATATCTGTTTGTTTCAAACAGAAGAAACACCTGCAGCCTATCATCTATTCCCTCAAATTTACCGATATGGACGTTTTAAAGTTTGTGGTTTTGATAGTTGCAGTGTTTGCGCAGGTATACGGTGCCCTGGGAACTCCAACCAGCGACGATGGAGATATTTGGTCGATTGAAAACTGGCAGGTAAAACGCACGTCCATCTTCTGAAGCGCATAGCTAGTTAGTTAGCAGCATGGACAGCGCAAATCGGTCTCTCTCAAATGGAATGTTGTAGCGTCCTGCTGCGTCCAAGCTATTATTTTTAGGTTTCACGTTTAGGACATCTGATATGGCAATGGTTGATAGAAGGCTTCTGTTTTTTATTCTCTTTGACAATTATTGTTACAGCGGGATCCGTTGGAGAGTGGCTTGGCCATCCGCGTGGCTGACCTCATCAAGAGGTCAAAATCGCAGCAGTTTCACGGACTCATGGGGCGAAGCTCAGGTAAATTCAACTTTCATATCTTTTGATTTGGTCATGTTTTTTTGGGTCATAGTAAAATGATTTTGTAGGCTATAATTTATAGAAATGATTAAAATTCGAATAAATTAAACACATTTCATTTCCCGATTTAGGAGACTCTCAACCGATGCGTCTGGGTCAGAAAAGTAGGTGTTTCAAATTTGAAAGCATTTTAAATTAAATTATTAATTGGCCTGCTTTGTGCTATAGCCTATATTCTGTACTTATATATACTTATATTGTGTGTGTTTCATCAGGAAATAAAGGAGAAATGTTTGTTGGACTCATGGGTCGAAGGTCCTCAAATGGAGGTAGAGTCAAGCACTTTACCAGATTATAAATATGTTAGCTATCATTCTTCAGAACAAATTCAATCTAATGTATTTATTCCATATTTGTTTTTCAAGAGTCGCAAGAGGAATGGAACAAGCCCCAGTATTACTAGAGATGAAGATATAACTTGATTGTTCAAAGTTACTGTAATAATAAATCTGGCTCAAATTATTAATCTAGGTCAAAGCAATCCAATACATGCAACAAAGCTTAATTGATGTAGCAAAAGTAAGGAATGTGTAATAAGGGTCAATAATTATTTGTCCCATGTGTTTAAAAACTGGGTCAGGGATTTGCTGCAACTAATTGACATTTTATGCCTTCCTTTACTGTACCATTCTGTACTGTCCTTTGCAATACAAACTGCTTGTCATGTTGAATCAAGTAATTTTTTTTTTGCATAATATTGAATTGATTGTTGTGCATACAAACAGGTACATTTGTAATTTTTAAAGATAATTCACACAAATGTCCCATCACTGAAAGCATTACTGAACTTCAAGATTAATTAATATTGAAAAACTTAATTTGCTTTTCTGTGCTTCATATCAAATGCTGATCATTTGTCAGTGAACCCCTACACATCTATGTGGCATAAAGGCTCAATGCTGTTCGAATTTCCTTAATAAAAACATTGTTCAATCAAGTGCACTTTTTCTAGTGTTGATTTGCTTTCAACTGTCTAGATCTACCAGATTGGTGCAGGTCATGGAGCGGAGATGAAGCCACTTTAGACTGACACATGCACCCGAGACAGAAACATATTGCAGTGTGTAGTGGCAACTGGTTGGGGAAACAGAGGATGCTGCCCCAGTAAGTTCAGAAAGAACACCTAGCACACAGGATCAATACATTTTGGGGTTTAGATTTATTGGAGAGGAAGCAAGTACAAAAGCAGGTGCACACAACTTATCTACATATTCATGCTGTACAGAGGTACTGCTGACTGCTGTGTAGCTACAGTGGTCTACTGCTCTTTTGTTAGCTTATTGAAGAACAAATGCTTGTTTGAAGGTGAGCATTATGACCCCACACACTGGTTTCAGGTAAACCGGGCTGTTCTGGAGTTGCTTTCTATAGCTGCCATGACTGGCACAGGAGGAAGCATCTCGACAACAGACCACAGCAACATGTTGGGAGGCAAAATGGATGGCAGAGGTAAAGGAGGAAAATTGTTGAGCTGCTATAATACCTCCTTTGTGTGATGTTAGGCCAAGTTAGCATCTATGCATGCAAAAGATGCTGATATTGCACAGACTCTTGATAAACCATAAAAACGTTGCAACTAAATCAAAATCATACCCCAAAATGTCATGGACAGTGTGCAATCTAGTTTTAGAGAGACAAAATAAGGACATAAACAATCTGATGCACAGGTATATTTCAAGGCCTTTTACTTCTCAACATTCAAAAGCAGAAGGAATGAATAAAGCCTGACTGGCCCAAAACTATTTTAACATGCAATTTTAAATTGGCAATCCAACACTTCAACTCGTGAGTGCTTATAATCATAACTCCATAATATTGGAATATTACTTTCTTAGTTTGAAAACAAGAAAATATACAACCTGGATCCATTGAAATACAGTTGAAGTCGGGAAGTTTACATACACTTAGGTTGGAGTCATTAAAACCCGTTTTTCAACCACTCCACAAATTTCTTGTTAACAAACTATAGTTTTGGCAAGTCGGTTAGGACATCTACTTTGTGCATGACACAAGTAATTTTTCCAACAATTGTTTACAGACAGATTATTTAACTTATAATTCACTGTATCACAATTCCAGTGGGTCAGAAGTTTACATACACTAAGTTGACTGTGCCTTTAAACAGCTTGGAAAATTCCAGAAAATTATGTCATGGCTTTAGAAGCTTCTGATAGGCTAATTGACATCATTTGAGTCAATTGGAGGTGTACCTGTGGATGTATTTCAAGGCCTACCTTCAAACTCAGTGCCTCTTTCCTTGACATCGTGGAAAAATCTAAAGAAATCAGCCAAGACCTCAGGAACAAAATTGTAGACCTCCACAAGTCTGATTCATCCTTGGGAGCAATTTCCAAACGCCTGAAGGTACCACGTTCATCTGTACAAATAATAGTACGCAAGTATAAACACCATGGGACCACGTATCCATCATACCGCTCAGGAAGGAGACGTGTTCTGTCTCCTAGAGATGAACGTACTTTTGTGCGAAAAATGCAAATCAATCCCAGAACAACAGCAAAAGGACTTTGTGAAGATGCTGGAGGAAACCGATACAAAAGTATCTATATCCACAGTAAAACGAGTCCTATATCGACATAACCTGAAAGGCCGCTCAGCAAGGAAGAAGCCACTGCTCCAAAACCGCCATATAAAAGCCAGACTACGGTTTTGCAACTGCACATGGAGACAAAGATTGCAATTTTTGGGAGAAATGTCCTCTGGTCTGATGAAACAAAAATAGAACTGTTTGGCCATAATGACCATCCTTATGTTTGGAGGAAAAAGGGGGACGCTTGCAAGCCGAAGAACACCATCCCAACTGTGAAGCAAGGGGGTGGCAGCATCATGCTGTGGGGGTGCTTTGCTGCAGGAGGGACTGGTGCACTTCACCAAATAGATGGCATAATGAGGAAGGAAAATTATGTGGATATATTGAAGCAACATCTCAAGACATCAGTCAGGAAGTTAAAGCTTGGTCGCAAATGGGTCTTCCAAATGGACAATGACCCCAAGCATACTTCCAAAGTTGTGGCAAAATGGCTTAAGGACAACAAAGTCAAGGTATTGGAGTGGCCATAACAAAGCCCTGACCTCAATCCTATAGAACATTTGTGGGAAGAACTGAAAAAGCGTGTGCGAGCAAGGAGGCCTAAAAAACCTGACTCAGTTACACCAGCTCTGTCAGGAGGAATGGGCCAAAATTCACCCAACTTATTGTGGGAAGCTTGTGGAAGGCTATCCGAAACGTTTGACCCAAGTTAAACAATTTAAAGGCAATGCTACCAAATACAAATTGAGTGTATGTAAACTTCTGACCCACTGGGTAAAAGCTGAAATAAATAATTATCTCTACTATTATTCTGACATTTCACATTCTTAAAATAAAGTGTTGATCCTAACTAACCTTAGACAGGGAATTTTTACTTGGATTAAATGTCAGGAATTGTGAAAAACTGAGTTTAAATATATTTGGCTAAGGTGTATGTAAACTTCCGACTTCAATTGTACATCTTGAAATATGACTGTGGTGAAATATACAGTATATTTTGGCAGCCTTGAGGAAATACAGTGGGGAGAACAAGTATTTGATACACTGCCGATTTTGCAGGTTTTCCTACTTACAAAGCATGTAGAGGTCTTTAATTTTTATCATAGGTACACTTCAACTGTGAAAGACGGAATCTAAAACAAAAATCCAGAAAATCACATTGTATGATTTTTAAGTAATTCATTTGCCTTTTATTGCATGACATAAGTATTTGATCACCTACCAACCAGTAAGAATTCCGGCTCTCACAGACCTGTTAGTTTTTCTTTAAGAAGCCCTCCTGTTCTCCACTCATTACCTGTATTAACTGCACCTGTTTGAACTCGTTACCTGTATAAAAGACACCTGTCCACACACTCAATCAAACAGACTCCAACCTCTCCACAATGGCCAAGACCAGAGAGCTGTGTAATGACATCAGGGATAAAATTGTAGACCTGCACAAGGCTGGGATGGGCTACAGGACAATAGGCAAGCAGCTTGGTGAGAAGGCAACAACTGTTGGCACAATTATTAGAAAATGGAAGAAGTTCAAGATGACGGTCAATCACCCTCGGTCTGGGGCTCCATGCAAGATCTCACCTCGTGGGGCATCAATGATCATGAGGAAGGTGAGGGATCAGCCCAGAACTACACGGCAGGACCTGGTCAATGACCTGAAGAGAGCTGGGACCACAGTCTCAAAGAAAACCATTAGTAACACACTACGCCGTCATGGATTAAAATCCTGCAGCGCACGCAAGGTCCCCCTGCTCAAGCCAGCGCATGTCCAGGCCCGTCTGAAGTTTGCCAATGACCATCTGGATGATCCAGAGGAGGAATGGGAGAAGGTAATGTGGTCTGATGAGACAAAAATATAGCTTTTTGGTCTAAACTCCACTCGCCGTGTTTGGAGGAAGAAGAAGGATGAGTACAACCCCAAGAACATCATCCCAACCGTAAAGCATGGAGGTGGAAACATCATTCTTTGGGGATGCTTTTCTGCAAAGGGGACAGGAAGACTGCACCGTATTGAGGGGAGGATGGATGGGGCCATGTATCGCGAGATCTTGGCCAACAACCTCCTTCCCTCAGTAAGAGCATTGAAGATGGGTTGTGGCTGGGTCTTCCAGCATGACAACGACCCGAAACACACAGCCAGGGCAACTAAGGAGTGGCTCCGTAAGAAGCATCTCAAGGTCCTGGAGTGGCCTAGCCAGTCTCCAGACCTGAACCCAATAGAAAATCTTTGGATGGAGCTGAAAGTCCGTATTGCCCAGCGACAGCCCCGAAACCTGAAGGATCTGGAGAAGGTCTGTATGGAGGAGTTGGCCAAAATCCCTGCTGCAGTGTGTGCAAACCTGGTCAAGACCTACAGGAAACGTATGATCTCTGTAATTGCAAACAAAGGTTTCTGTACCAAATATTAAGTTCTGCTTTTCTGATGTATCAAATACTTATGTCATGCAATAAAATGCAAATTAATTACTTAAAAATCATACAATGTGATTTTCTGGATTTTTGTTTTAGATTCCGTCTTTCACAGTTGAAGTGTACCTATGATAAAAATTAAAGACCTCTACATGCTTTGTAAGTAGGAAAACCTGCAAAATCGGCAGTGTATCAAATACTTGTTCTCCCCACTGTACCTCCTCTCAGATTCGGAGCTTGTTTTGTTTCTCCCCTATGACATACAAATGCACAGATCAAATAGCTTATTTTTAAAATACACACGAAAAACAAGAACAATACAGAAACACAACTGAATAAAAACTCTACACAATAATTAACACTATTTGAGAATGACAGTGGAGTTTGTCAAACCTTTACAATGATAGTAAAGAGTTAACTTTTGACATATGGTCAGTAAAGGCCATTTTTTCTGCAACTATAAAGATGTGCACTTTACATATTTATTGCCCTATAGTGGCTATAAATTATTGAGATGAGGGCCATACGTTGCTGTGGAACTCAGTATCTGTATATACAGTGGGGGAAAAAAGTATTTAGTCAGCCACCAATTCTGCAAGTTCTCCCACTTAAAAAGATGAGAGAGGCCTGTAATTTTCATCATAGGTACACATCAACTATGACAGACAAATTGAGAATTTTTTTCTCCAGAAAATCACATTGTAGGATTTTTAATGAATTTATTTGCAAATTATGGTGGAAAATAAGTATTTGGTCACCTACAAACAAGCAAGATTTCTGGCTCTCACAGACCTGTAACTTCTTCTTTAAGAGGCTCCTCTGTCCTCCACTCGTTACCTGTATTAATGGCACCTGTTTGAACTTGTTATCAGTATAAAAGACACCTGTCCACAACCTCAAACAGTCACACTCCAAACTCCACTATGGCCAAGACCAAAGAGCTGTCAAAGGACACCAGAAACAAAATTGTAGACCTGCACCAGGCTGGGAAGACTGAATCTGCAATAGGTAAGCAGTTTGGTTTGAAGAAATCAACTGTGGGAGCAATTATTAGGAAATGGAAGACATACAAGACCACTGATAATCTCCCTCGATCTGGGGCTCCACGCAAGATCTCACCCCGTGGGGTCAAAATGATCACAAGAACGGTGAGCAAAAATCCCAGAACCACACTGGGGGACCTAGTGAATGACCTGCAGAGAGCTGGGACCAAAGTAACAAAGCCTACCATCAGTAACACACTACGCCGCCAGGGACTCAAATCCTGCAGTGCCAGACGTGTCCCCCTGCTTAAGCCAGTACATGTCCAGGCCCGTCTGAAGTTTGCTAGAGTGCATTTGGATGATCCAGAAGAGGATTGGGAGAATGTCATATGGTCAGATGAAACCAAAATAGAAATTTTTGGTAAAAACTCAACTCGTCGTGTTTGGAGGACAAAGAATGCCGAGTTGCATCCAAAGAACACCATACATACTGTGAAGCATGGGGGTGGAAACATCATGCTTTGGGGCTGTTTTTCTGCAAAGGGACCAGGACGACTGATCCGTGTAAAGGAAAGAATGAATGGGGCCATGTATCGTGAGATTTTGAGTGAAAACCTCCTTCCATCAGCAAGGGCATTGAAGATGAAACGTGGCTGGGTCTTTCAGCATGACAATGATCCCAAACACACCGCCCGGGCAACGAAGGAGTGGCTTCGTAAGAAGCATTTCAAGGTCCTGGAGTGGCCTAGCCAGTCTCCAGATCTCAACCCCATAGAAAATGTTTGGAGGGAGTTGAAAGTCTGTGTTGCCCAGCGACAGCCCCAAAACATCACTGCTCTAGAGGAGATCTGCATGGAGGAATGGGCCAAAATACCAGCAACAGTGTGTGAAAACCTTGTGAAGACTTACAGAAAATGTTTGACCTGTGTCATTGCCAACAATGGGTATATAACAAAGTATTGAGAAACTTTTGTTATTGACCAAATACTTATTTTACACCATAATTTGCAAATAAATTCATTAAAAATCCTACAATGTGATTTTCTGGATTTTCTTTTCTCATTTTGTCTGTCATAGTTGATTACAGGCCTCTCTCATCTTTTTAAGTGGGAGAACTTGCACAATTGGTGGCTGACTAAATACTTTTCCCCCCCACTGTATACAGCAGATGGAGGTGATTTCTGGATTCATCCAATGTATATGCACAATCAGTCTCTCGAGTAATAAAACTAGCAGTCAGTAACATTTGCAGCAATTCAAAATGGTGATGGTGAAAAACATCCATTATTTGATCCTTATACACATAAACTGACATACATTGGGTTGACCACAACGCAAAATAAAGTTGTCTCTTTTGCTTGGTGCTACATGCATTTGCTTGTTCCTCTGTAACATGTTAGAGAAAATCTATTCTAATGACACGTTAAAATCTAGTTCTAAATACGGCTAGGAAACCAGTCCTGCACATTTTCAAAACTTTCTTCAAATATACTTTGTCTTGCCAAACCTGTACCATAAAATCTTCTCTTGATCATTTAAATATATTGACAGTGTGAATTGAACTTGACATCAAATTCGTACTTCGGCCTCAGACAGAGCCTGACTGCGAATTCCAGTTCTGTTCCTCCTCCTTCTCTCCCAGTGTTCACTTATGCAAAAGGAAAGGACTGGGGTAAGGAACATCCTCCAGCCAACGTTTTCACCAGTCCGATGCTTTTAAATCCTTGAATGAGTGCACACTTTGGAAAGAAGGGGAAGAAAGGGAATTGGGAATCTTCACACTTTCAGGAAGTCAATTTAAAATAGCTTAAAAAAGGACATTAGCCAAAACAGCTTAAAACAGTGGTAAAACCAAACAGAATAGAAAAATGAGGAGCAAAGATGAAAAAAAAAAAAACCCAGAAACAAAACCAAACAGAAACAGTAAAGACAATCAAGACGCATGGATACATTGTTGTGCTACCACGACCCCTCCCCAGAATGACAGCTATATTTCCACACGTACTAACTAACTGGTTCACTAGGTTAACACGGTTCTACTGAGAAGTTTTCTGTGAGGAAAGCTAGGGTCTGGATTCAAGCAACCGACCATCAGTATTCTTCTTGATATTATGATCTACTACTTAAACCTGGTTAGGACTCTCAATAATAATAATCAATAATTCTGCACTAACAGTGTACTGATCAAAAAGTTGTTTGAAGTAAACTATTCTGATAGTGAGCTTTGAACCCAGGTCCTTGGGTTGGAGAGGTATGGTGTAGGGGGAGGGGAGGGGTGTCCTATGTTCCTTTAGGTGGGGTCCACTTTAAGGCGGTGGGTTCAATAGTCTTGCTGCTGCCGCGTTTGGTCTCCTTGGCTTTCCAGTCGTCGATTAGGTCCTGGAGGAGATAGTAGCATGTTAGCCTCAGAAATCCCAGGTTTGTCACGCTCTGTTCCAAAACCTGTGGAAGTTCTCCTCAGGAAGACAATCAAAAGGACAGACAACAGTGGTATAGATGGAAACTAGACCTGTTGCCACTTTTTAAACCAATGAAATATTTAGCATGTTTTTGATTTTTTAAAATTAATACATAACTAATACAGCATAGGCACACTGTCTGACACAGTAGGAAAAAGAGACACAGATAAAGCAAAAAATAATAATAATTCTAAAACAAGGAAATGCCTCTCCTGAGGGGAAACGTCACTTGTACTCATACCGAGCGTCAACAGCCTGCACTGCCCATTCAAATGCAAAATCCAATACCAAAGTTCTCCAGACTTCCAATAGTAAAGCCAACGAGACGAGATTTGGAAAGATGGCTCCGCGAGACTAGTAGCATGTTAGCACTGCTAGGCTCAATGATAGGTGGATGTCCAAGACAATATCGAGACTGAACTGACGTCTAATGGAATAACCCAAACCCCAACTAATTCCACAGTTAGTTGGAGAAATGTCCTGGCCGTCATTGTAAATAAGAATGTGTTCTTAACAGACTTGGCTGGTTAAATAAACAAATACATGAAGAAATAGTAGGTGACATACCTGTCTCTTCAAGACCAGATGCTTCCCTTTCCAGTACTTGAGCATCTGGAGGGACTGCAGGGTGCTGACGATGTCCACTGGGTTGACAGCTGTCTCCTGGCTGATCTCCTTGATGGAGATCTCCGTCCCCTGGAACTGGTTGAGGTAGCGCAGCAGCACCTCCTTCCAGTAGGACCTGTAGCTGATCAGGCCCAGGTCTGAGAGGGGCCGCTCTGGAGAGCCCACCTTCTCCTCCACCTTAGACAGTAGGTAACCTGGGAGAGGACAGACCACACACAGACCAGGGTTAGAGAGAAACCAGGACCAGACACAGGGTGACAGAGAGATCAGGTAGAGTTACAGAGACCACAAGGTAGTGGCTGTACTCACTGAAGTCAATCAGCATCTTTCCGTAGCCCTGCCTCATGTACTGTGGCATGGTGAGGAATACAGGAGACATTGTAGTTCAGAAACGAGTTCTTCTCCTAAATGGGAGGACATAGATGTTTTGAGTTTGAGAAAAGCACTTAATAAATCAAATGTAACATTATAACTACAACTGACTGGTTACCTTTGAGAAGTAGCCAACCAGATGGCAGCCGGTGTTGTCAGCCTCTGTCATGACGTAGAAGAGGAAGGGCTCCACGTCGTAGTATAGGGTCTTGTGGTCCAGGAAGAGCTTAGCCAGAAGGCATAGGTTTTGGCAGTAGATCTGTGGAAGACAGGGTCATTTAGCAGGGCTATGGTCAGAGTAGGGTAGTCATTACATTCACAAGGCAGGATAACTTCACATTCCCGGGACCACAGAAATCTCTCACCTTGTTCTTTTTACCATCCACCTCAAAGACTGAGATGTTTCCCTTTCGATAGATCTCATCCCCTGGTGGGTGTTTCCAGACACACTTGGCCTGTACAGGGGAGGGAAAGCACCGATCATAATACAAAAACCTATTCAGAATTGAGATCCACTCTGAAACGTCTGACTACGGCCCATCCATAGAGAACAATCAAAAAACACAGGAGAAATTACTCGACATGCACCAACGTTCTCACCATGTGCCGGCGCAGGATGGTCTGACTCTTCATGTACTTGAGGCAGAACTCACACATGTAGAGGCGTCCCAAGCGGGCGTACTCCTCGGGGTAGGGCGAGTGATACCAGGTATCCAGCTCGTAGCGGCCAAACACGATGGTCTTGATCATGTTGCTGCCCTCCGCCACCTGGCCCTGCAGCTTCTCCTGCACCAGGCGGAGGACAGGAAGAGGGGAAAGAAAAGAGAGGAGGAAGAGAGAGGTTTGACCAACGCAGCGAGGGAGAGGGGCAGGCAAGACGCCACGGGAGGGGAACCCATACCCTCCATGGAAGCAACCACGAAGAATGCGCTTTAATTTGGAAAAAGGTTAGAAATGTGTGTGGAAAGGATAAGAGAGAGCTTTGGAAGACTGAAAGGGGAGCCTCTTAAAGATATCAGCTAGAGTAAATCTAGCTCAAAGAGAGCGAAGAAGTAGTTCTCCATAAACTATCCGGTCTTGTAACTGACAATACCAGACAGTGTGAGTAGCCAGATTACCCAGAATGCTCCCCGTCTGGCAATGCCCACCGTAAACGGTGAGAGCTGGGCGTGGACTGGGCCCAGTCCAGACAGTCACTAGTACAGGCTCAGGAAAAGAAAGAAGAAAATGGGAGGAAGGGCGATGAGTTCTCTCTCTTACAAGATCCTCCGAAGCACGTGCCTGGGCTTTTCGAAAGAGCTCCAGGTCGTAATCACTTGTGATGTTCTCCAGGAGGGGCTCTCGGTTGTTGCCGTGGGACTGCCGGTGCTCCTGGGACATCAGAGAGGGAGAATAAAGCCTTTAACCTCAGAACAATCAGCATATCTCTTCAACCGGACACATTATTTACCTTCAACATATCTGTTGTCTGAACAGTTGTCAAAGACACTTTTTAATTTGGAAGTATTATATTTGTTTACCTTGTGTATGGGATAAGAGTGTATTACAACGTGTAGGCTACAAGGAAACGTTTTTTCTTCTGGCACTAATGGAAAAGGGTTGTTTTTCCTTTCCTAGAGTTTGGATTAGAGGTCAGATCACCACACTCACCATGTACTGGTCTTTCTGCTCTTTTAGCAGACCCGAGTTCCTCTTCTTCCTCATTTCTGTCACCTTCTCCTTGTACCTCATCTGTCTCTCCGTTGGGGCCTAATCCATTATGCAATGTTATGATACTGCCTTTAAATCCTAAACTCATTGGCACCCTATTGCCTTTCTTGAAACATTTACTGCAAGGAAGGACAAATCCAAAGCAAAAACAGTAGCGTAGTGATAAAATTAGATGGTTGATCAAATGAAAGTCCCAGGATCAGGATCATAGTACCTGGTGACGGGTATCGTGTCTGTTCTCGTCCTGCCGGTGGGACAACGTTCGCTCCTCCACCTGTTTGTCACGAGAGGAGGCCCTCGTCTGTGAAGAGAAATCCTGTTTGGTAAATCACAAAAGCTCTCATCCCTACAGAAGATATGCCTACAGTATGTAGTTTTAGTAAGTAGCAGGCAAGACTGATTTCAGACACGGTCCAAGAATCCCACACCTCAACACTAAAGCCAGCTGCCAAGGTCTTGTAGATTTACCTTGCATTCGTCTACAGAGAGGTTGTGGAAGAGAGGGCAGCCAGATATTGAGAAGTGCCTCTCATGTTTCCCTGTCAAATGGCCTGAAAAACAACAAAACAGAGAACGTCAAGTGAAACAAATGCAGAAGATAAACATTAACAGCATGTGTAGCGTTCTGAGGCCCACATTGCACAAAAAGTCAACTATGTAAATAAATGTCCTGCCCTCATTCACGGTGGAGCTGATGGATAAGAAAGAGATAATTTACTCCTGAGTGGCGCAGTGGTCTAAGGCACTGCAACGCAGTGCTAACTGTGCCACTAGAGATCCTGGTTCGAATCCAGGCTCTGTCGCAGCCGGCCGCGACCGGGAGACTCATGGGCGGCGCACAATTGGCCCAGCGTCATCCAGGGTAGGGGAGGGAATGGCCGGCAGGGATGTAGCTCAGTTGATAGAGCATGGCGTTTGCAACGCCAGGGTTGTGGGTTCGATTCCCATGGGGGGCCAGTATAAAAAAAAAAAAAATGTATTCACTAACTGTAAGTCGCTCTGGATAAGAGCGTCTGCTAAATGACTAAAATGTAAATGTAAAATTTACCCTGGGAGTTGCAGCCTGGTGTGGGGCACTTCATGTTGAAGTTGTAGCTCTCGTGGAAGCGGCGGCGCTTGGGCCTGTGGGAGAGGTCGCTGCCAGAGTCTTTGAGTGACAGCTCCTTGGCCAGGCTGTCGTCGTGAGAGGCGTTGGGGCTGGACACGTCGATGTCCGACTCCGAGGAGGGGGCGTTCCCTGTTGGGGTGCGGGGCAGAGACTCGTCCTGGTCTGCTGCTCGCTTCAGGTCTGGAAGAGCCAATGAGGAGAAGAACACATGTAAAGGAATAGTTATACTCACAAGCCAGTCAGACACCTCACATGATGGGGCCTTAGTTCATATTTCAAGTGCCTGGCTTGTATCTAGAATTATGAAGGAGGACATTCTCACCACTCTCTCACAGTACCATGTTTATACAATTTCAGGACACAAGATTCAATTTTGTTGTGATGCTGTTATACACCCACCCACTATATATTTTTTGTCAATGTTGGTGATGCATTTGTTTTTCACAAAATTCCCTTCAGATTTTTCCAAGGCAGGTTTTTCCAAAGGCAAAAAGTGAGGGGTATGAAACAGGACAGGAGGGGATGATGACTCATCATGACACCAGACACCCAATACATGATTACATACAACGACCCCACCGCACCAGCAACAGAAACCCAGAGGAATAAATAGGGATGGTAGCTACAAGCACAGGCTGCAATTCTCTGCAGAACTCTGAGGAACCAGCAGAAAAATAACAAATGAGTGGAATAACATGTGGAGGACAACACAAGCCCAAATAATCTGTTATGAGGACACAAGCCCAAAAACAAACTTAAAGAGTAGAAAAGCACTGGATGAGCATCACTGCCCCTTCGAAAACTTAAAATGATACAATGAACAGATATCATAAGTAACGCAGCGGGTGGCCAGCTCTGGGGTGTGGACAATGGAGCGGTGGGGGGGTGGGGGCTGTGAGAGAACGTGACCATGCTGCCTCTTCCTCCTACCCTCCACATGCTGCTCTGTGTCCGACCCCGAAGAGCGACTCTGGCGCAGAGGGTATTTCTTGGGGGTGACCGGCGGCCCTTGCTGCAGACTACGGCTACGGGTCACCCGCCGGGCAGAGAAGGTCACCACCTCTGCTGGGCTGGTCTGGACAGGGCTGGAATCTAAAAAGACATTTTTTTTAACAGACGTCTTCGGGGGTCTCTAGCCCTCAGCAGTAATGTAGTATTTTGTCTCCTCTACGGATACATCCCTTTCAAGCAGAGACACTTACACTCCCTAAACAAACGGGTTCATTTCCACAACATAAATGACCAGTAGTGTACAGGCAACAAAAAACAAAACATAGGCCCAAGCAGTAGGCTACTTGTTGTGCATAGCAACTTTAATAACAATATCAGCTCAGTTCTCAAATTGAGGACCAAGGGACATGGCAAGCTTTTCAAAAACCAACATAGAATGCATCCAGTATTTTTCAATAACAAAAGGAGTGGAAACTATATCATCCTCTATTCAAACCATGACCGCCAGATCGAATAGGGATCAGGGTGGATGACTGCTGTCTAAACCTATTCACAGTTTATGACCTTGATTGCTGATATACAATGGCTATTGTTACAGCAAGAGATGACAACCCATGAGCACATCTATGGGTATATCTACAGACAGACAAAGAGAACCCCAGCATTACATACAGAATCTTCATTTTGAATCTTCTGACCTAGATTATTGTCACAACATTTGGTTCAATGACCTAGACTGAAAACTCATATAGGGCTGGAATCCAAGGGATTCATATAGGATTCATAGTTATTCAGCAGATTCTTGAAGCAGAAACATAAATATAAATATTTCGGCCATCTCATGACAGTTCCATATCAAAACAGCATATTTACCTTGTGAACTTTGGCTGAGTCGCAGCGATGCGCGGGTGAGGCGCGTGTTCCTCCGTGTTCTCCCATAAATCTCGATTCTGTCTGTGTGCTCGTGGTCAGCAGAGAAGTCTGAATCCTCAGTGCCGTCTGAGCTGCTCCCAGCATTCCTCTTTCATAGAACAAAAGGGAAGATCGAGCGTCAGTTATGCACATCAATAACATAAACATGTCGATTTTTTGGTTTGGTTTCTGTTAGCTTGTATGAACAAAAATGCTAACGTTAAATCCATTTATGATTATCTGAAGCATCACTTGTGTGCCCAATCTTACTATTACGTTAGTTTTCGTCTTCCAACAACATGCCTGGGAGACAAATTCACCTTTCAGCAGGACAATAACCTAAAACACAAGGACAAATATACACTGGAGTTGCTTATCAATACGACATTGAATGTTCCTGAGTGGCCTAGTTACAGTTTTTACTTAAATCGGCTTGAAAATGGCTGTCTAGCAATGCTCAACAACCAACTTGACAGAGCTTGAAGAATTAAAAAAAGAATAATGTTCAAATATTGTACAATCCAGGTGTGCAAAGTTCTTAGAGACTTACCCAGACAGACTCACAGCTGTAATTGCTGAAAAATGTGATTCTAACATGCATTGACTCAGGGGTGTGAATACTTATTAAATTACATATTTCTGTAAACTACATGTTTTCACTTTGTCATTATGGGGTATTGTGGGTAGATGGGTGAGAAAAAACATATTTAATCAATTTTGAATTCAGGACGTCACACAACAACATATGGAATAAATCAAGGCTCCCGAATGGCGCAGTGGTCTAAGGCTGCATCACAACCGGCCGTGATTGGGTCCCATAGGGGGGCGCACAATGGCCCAGCGTCGTCCTGTTTGGGCCCTGAAGGGCCCTTGTAATAAGATTTGTTCTTAACGACTTGCCTAGTTAAAAAAAGGTTTAAAAAAATATGAATATTTCTGAAGGCTGTATGTTTTTTGGGAAAATGGACTTGATGTACAGTAGTCTACACAAAAAATCAAAAACTCCGCACAAGCACAAAAATACAAAAATCACCGAAATATTATTGTTTACAAAAACGTCAAAGGTTTCTCTTACTTAGGGGGAGGAGGGCATGTGTACAAGCAAAACTTCCCTTACTTTTTCCCCAAAGCACCAGTCAAAATAAAAACCAAATGCCAAATTGAAATACCTGGGGGAAAAGTTTTCCCAAAAAAAACATGACATGCAAAAATACAACGGGCCCTCTATTAACAAACCCTTCCATCGTTACCTTTAAAACTACGTAGCGAAAATAATGCACCAGTAGTTCGTCTTCCAACAACATGCGGTACGAAACAGCGCAATAGCCGCTCTAACTGCGACGTGAATAGGCTATATTCAGTAGCCTACAGTGCATTCGGAAAGTATTCAAACCCCTTGACTTTTTCCACATTGTTACATTACAGCCTTATTCTAAAATGAATTAAATTGTTTTTTTTCCCCATAATGACAAAGCAAAAACTGGGTTTTAGACATTTTAGCAAATCTATTTAAATAAAAAAATATTACATTTACATACATATTCCCGGCGATTACAGCCTCGAGTCTTCCTGGGTATGACCCTACAAGCTTGGCACACCTGTTTTGGGGAGTTTCTCCCATTCTTCTCTGCAGATCCTCTAAAGCTCTGTCAGGTTGGATGGGGAGCATCGCTGCACAGCTATTTTCAGGTCTGTCCAGAGATGTTCGATCGGGTTCAAGTCCGGGCTCTGGCTGGGCCACTCAAGGACATTCAGAGACTTTTCCCGAAGCCACTCCTGCGTTGTCTTGGCTGTGTGCTTAGGGTCATTGTCATGTTGGAAGGTGAACCTTCGCCCCAGTCTGAGGTCCTGAGCAGGTTTTCATCAAGGATCTCTCTGTACTTTGCTACGTTCATCTTTCCCTCGATCCTGACTAGTCTCCCAGTCCCTGCCGCTGAAAAACATCCCCACAGCATGATGTTGCCACCACCGTGCTTCACCTTAGGGATGGTGCCAGGTTTCTTCCAGACCTGACGCTTGGCATTCAGGCCAAAGAGTTCAATCTTGGTTTCATTAGACCAGATAATCTTGTTTCTCATGGTCTGAGAGTCCTTTAGGTGCCTTTTGGCAAACTCCAAGCGGGCTGTCATGTGCCTTTTACTGAGGAGTGGCTTCCGTCTGGCCACTCTACCATAAAGGCCTGATTGGTGGAGTGCTGCAGAGATGGTTGTCCTTCTGGAAGGTTCTCCCATCTCCACAGAGGACCTCTGGAGCTCTGTCAGAGTGACCATCGGGTTCTTGGTCACCTCCCTGACCAAGGCTCCGATGGCTCTAGGAAGAGTCTTGGTGGTTCCAAACTTCTTCCATTTAAGAATGATGGAGGCCACTGTGTTCTTGGTGAACTTCAATGCTGCAGACATTTTTTGGTACCCTTCCCCAGATCTGTGCCTCGACACAATCCTGTCTCGGAGCTCAACGGACAATTCGTTCGACCTCATGGCTTGGTTTTTGCTCTGACATGCACTGTCAACTGTGGGACCTTATATAGACAGGTGTGTGCCATTCCAAATCATGTCCAATCAATTGAATTTATCACAGGTGCACGCCAATCAAGTTGTAGAAACATCTCAAGGATGATCAATGGAAACAGGATACACCTGAGCTCAATTTTGAGTCTCATAGCAAAGGGTCTGGAAACTTATGTAAATAAGGTGTTTCTGTTTTTCTATTTTTAATACATTTGCAAAAAATTCTAAAAACCTATTTTTGCTTTGTCATTATGGGGTATTGTGTGTAGATTGATGAGACAAATAATAATGTAATCCATTTTAGAATAAGGCTGTAACGTAACAAAATGTGGAAAAAGGGAAGGGGTCTGAATAATTTCCGAATACACTGTATATCCCCAATACAGCTCCGGTCTTCCCAAATCTGCATCGGATGCGCTCATAAATTATCTGCTACTCACAGAATGTTTCAGAGATCTCAAGTTATGATGCTGCGTGCATTTAATCAAATACACGCAGTCAAACAACAAATAATAATGTGACACAGGTTATTTTCCTGTGTTTAGTCCTGACTGCATTCTCACCTGCAGTGAACCTCACCACGGTATGAATTGAATTGGACCGAGACCACCCTTTTTGAGCAAATCATGGTGCGATTTTTAGTGTGCTCCCGTGTGCGGATAGTAAACTAAGGGGGTAAATGTACCAGAGTTCGGAAAAACAGCACCAAACATATTTGGTGTGAAAGCCCCCTAAAACTGAAGAAAAATGTGGCAAAGAAATTAACTTTATGTCCTGAATAGAAAGCGTTATGTTTGGGGCAAATCCAACACAACACATCACTGAGTACCACTCTTCATATTTTCAAGCATGGTGGTGGCAGCATCACGTTATGGGTATGCTTGTCATCGGCAAGGACAAGGGAGTTTTTTAAGAAAAATAAATGGAATAGAGCTAAGCACAGGCAAAATCCTAGAGGAAAACCTAGACACTGGGAGACAAATTCACCTTTCAGCAGGACAATAACCTAAAACACAAGGACAAATATACACTGGTGTTGCTTATCAATACGACATTGAATGTTCCTGAGATACTGGCCTAGTTACAGTTTTGACTTAAATCGGCTTGACAATCTATGGCAAGACTTGAAAATGGCTGTCTAGCAATGCTCAACAACCAACTTGACAGAGCTTGAAGAATTTAAAAAAGAATAATGTGCAAATGTTGTACAAACCAGGTGTGCAAAGTTCTTAGAGACTTACCCAGAAAGACTCACAGCTGTAATTGCTGAAAAATGTGATTCTAACATGCATTGACTCAGGGGTGTGAATACTTATGTAAATTACATATTTCTGATTTCATTTTCAGTACAATTTCTAAACTACATGTTTTCACTTTGTCATTATGGTGTATTGTGTGTAGATTGGTGAGAAAAAAACATATTTAATCAATTTTGAATTCAGGATGTCACAACATGTGGAATAAGTCAAGGGGTATGAATACTTTCTGAAGGAACTGTATGTTTTGAAGCAAACTGGACTGGAGTACTAGCTAGTAGTCTACACAGAAAAAATCCAAATCTAATAGCACAAGCACATAAGATACAAGAATCACCGAAAAGATGATTGTTTACAAGCGTCAATGGTTTACATCTTGACTTAGGTGGAGGCGGGAGGGGGAGCATGTGAACAAGCAACACTTCCGTAGTACGTTTCCCACAATGCACCATGTCAAAAAATAACCAACTGCCAGAATTGAAATGCACTGGGGAAATGTTCCAAAACAAACATGAACATCCAAAAACGTACAACGGGACATGTATATGTATGTTAACAACATTACAATACTGTTACGTTAACAACTACCGTAGCGAAAATACATTCGAGATGAAAATGGCTCAACAATCATGAGGCCGCTATGCGTCTTTAACCAATTGCAAGTGAGGAGAGGCGGGACATGAGGAAATTAAACCAATTGATACTATGCTATTCCTGAATCAATCCAATGAAATCGTTGTTTTGAGGAAGACAATTATTTCCCTCACCACCAGCAGGATTCAAGTAGCTACAGCCAGAGAGGTTTAAACCTAGATAACACTTTTTGGTACACCCTGCGGGCCTGTTCCACCAAGCTTTTGGTTCTATCAGTACTAGCTGGTGGTTCATCTGTTAGCTAGATAACCTCGCTAGCTAGCTAAAGCAATTGTGAAATGATGTTTAAATGCACCCCATCACTATAGCCATGAATGCACACACTCTTGGATAGCTAGCTAGCACATTAGCTAGACCAGTATCGCATCAGCTTGCCATGGCATTTGTGCTATTCTAAATGTTACACACAATTGATTGTGCTGTGCTTTAACGCAAACTAGGGCTCAATTAGTTCCTGTTTGTCACGTTATAGTGACATTGCGACATGATAGCTAATTAGCTAAACAAATTTACATTACATATAGCTAGCATGAGTCAGTCACCTGTATTTTACCACTAACGTTACGTATCTAAATAAATCAAGTTCTTACCTTTCTCCGGGGCATTTCACTTTAACGGCGTCTTGTTTTAAGACGTTAGCTATCCCTTAGCAGTACAAATAAACAGCGTTTTAAAATGAAAATGCTCACGAATGAAACTGGTTGACTGGAGATACCGCTCAACGTTTGTCTCACACTTCCGTGATATGTTCAAGCAAGTCGACACGTTTCGGAATGTTTTGAAACGGTTCTACTGTTATTAAATTGGCCACTAGATGGCGGTGTTGTAACGTGTACATGATGGGCCCTTGCTAATCGGAATCCTTGGGAGGCCCCCCCCCCCCCCCCCCCCCCCCCTTATATTGCTGTCTAATTTCTCAGGGCAAGCCCTGTCCATGAGCTGATCCCCCTGGGTAGATTTTACCCCCCCCCCCACAACAGACAATTACCCTGCCCCCACCCAATGAACATTTATATTTATCATTGTCACAGTTGTAAACGTGTATATTATTATTATTGTATTTTTTTATTGTTTCATTCACACCTGCAGCTCGGAGCTTAAGAATTTCACTGTACACTGCAACTACATCTGTGCATGTGACAAAAAAAATTGAAAAAATATCTGATCTAAAACATCCACCTCATGCAGCAACAAGGGCCAACCATGTCTACTGATCGACCTTCAAGCCCTTTCAACTGGGGGTGAAGCTTCCTGCTTCTCCTATGACAGTCCGTCTCTGTCTGTCCCTTCAGGGCATTTCTCATAGAATTACAATAAGTTCTTATTAGTTCAAAACTGGTGTTTCTTCCTGTTCCATCACGCTACCCAGGCCACGCAGTAGGGCACTATGCCTACAGTGGCCAGGGGCACAGTGGCACTCTTACAGAAAGACAGCAGGTAGAACAGAGCCCTGGTGTGGGCTGGTGGCCTGAATGAGTCCAGTAGGTGGAGCAGCAGCAGTGTGGCGCCCACGCATGCCAGCCTGTAGGTGGCGCCACCTCCTGCTCTCCGGGCCTCGGTGTAGAGGGGCGAATGCAAGCCCAAGCCCAGGCCTAACAGAGTGCCGGTGTTGCGCAGGAGGCTGGCAAAAGGAGTGGTGTCTATGTGGACCATTGGGGCCGCTGGCACCAGCGCTGGGCCTTGTCCAGGGTCCAGAGCAGGTCCACCCCCAGGCCCCTGAGGACCAGGTAGAGGCCCACGGCGAAGGAGAGCAGGGAGAGGGTGGTGTAGGTGTAGCGTCTCAGGCTAGCCCTGTAGATCCACTGGGCCCGGTCAAAGGCCTCCGCCACCAGGATGCCTGAGAAAACGGACAAGCATGTCAAAGAGCATTTCCCAGCTTTCAGTTGCATGTTCTCAATTAGGTGTACCTAATGTTTTGTACACTCAGTGTATATCTGAAAGGTTTGTATTTGTATTTATTATGGATCCACATTAGCTGCTGCCAAGGCAGCAGATACTCTTCCTGGGGTCTAGTAAAATTTAGGCAGTTATACAATTTTAAAAACATCACAATACATTTCACAACACATTAAGTGTGTGCCCTCAGGCCACTACTCTACTACCACATATCTACAACACAAAATCCATGTGTACGTGTGTGTATAGCGCTATGTTATCATGTGTTTATGCATAAACTACATCTATGGCATAAACTACATCTATGGCAGAAGTTACACCAAGCCTGTCAGTGTTCAAAGCAGGGCTATTACCATATTGCTTATCCAGAACTGAAAGAAGGGTGTAGGGTTTGATTTAGAATTCGGTATAAGAGTCTGGGCTCTCCACTGACCTGTGACGACCCCAGCGATAACCTGGTGAGGGAAGTGGGCAGCGATGAAAACCGTAGAGAGGCAGACACACACCTGCACACACCAGAAGACAGCCCACAGGGTCCCGCGGACACACCTGCCACACACACACACACACACACACACACACACACACACACACACACACACACACACACACACACACACACACAGGGAAGGACACACAGTCACCTACTTAGCAGAGTTGGATCATTCAATCTAGGTAATTGTGTCTAGCGGATAAACTCTGAAAAACAACATAGAATTTGTCCACTTACCAGTTCTTGATGTGACCCCCATGTTCCTTGAGGAGGATGGCGAGGAGTGATGAGATCATAGCGTAGTAAACCCCTGCAGCACTCATGGCATGACCCAACAGACTTCCTGTGAGAGGAGAGCTGCTGTCAAGTATAGTATTGCTTGAAAAAAATGAATTGAACTGAATGGAATTTAATTGATTTGAATTTAATATACTGTATGGATTCTCCAGAAGGGAAAGTGGTTTTGCCACCAGCAGCAGACAAACAGCACAGACAAACAGGCACTCACCTGGCCAGTCTCACAGGTCATAGGGAACTGTTCAATTTGTGGCGCTGATGAGTTGCCATAGTAAGGAGTCTCTTGAACCCACCAATAGGGACGCTCGCCAAACAGGATCCTGTGTAGATACGAGAGAGTAATATATCATATATCACATATTGAATCCTCCTCTGTCTGGCAACATACGCACTGGAGGGATCATCTGTTGGATCGTTCTTATAGCATAGTTAAAACATTCGGAACCTGCCGTATTTTCATCCTGGAAATAAACATATTATATTGTTATTCTTTATCTTAGCATCTGAGCACTGTGATTAGCATTAGTATTAGTAGTCACCTACCATTTGAAGATGAGGTTGAGCCAGTCTCCCACCACAGCCACCCAGACCAGCTTGACCCCCACTGATTCCCGCAGGTGGAAACACACAGGGAAGAAGACAAAGAAGGTGTTCCGCAGGTCGGCTGCCATGGAAACAAACAGGAACCAGCTCTGAGTGTCCCTGTAGTGAGTCTGGAGGTATCGTGTGGCGCTAACCCCATAGGCGTGGACAGTATCCATGGCTGCTCTCTAGTTCACTGTATCTGACAGTCACACTAACGTTAAGTACAGTCTTCAACGACCAGTCTATAGCTGCTGCTGTGTCTGATATCCTATGTCAGAAGAGCAGAGGTGTCTGCTGAGATGCCCGCTGGCAGTACCATAGTTCTGTGTGTATTGTCTGATAAAGTCAAGAGCTAGTGGCTTGAGGTCTCTGTGCAGCCCTTGTAGTGTGTGCTGCTTGTCTGTCCAGTGCCCGCCTGTCACCGCTGCCATCCCTTTTATACCCTGTGTGAACACCTGGTCACTCCACCACGCATGATCTTTGGACTGGAGAGAGTGAGGAGGGAAAGGAACTGGACAAACATTACATCATGACTGACTGCACTGCAGCCGGCTGGTCAGTGCATCACCATGGGGACTACCTGTGGTGTGGTATTGCTGGAAGACCCCTCTACATGCATGCACGTGCGTACACACACCAGTGGCGGCTGGTGGGAGGAGCTATAGGAGGATGGGCTCATTGTAATGGCTGGAACGGAATCAATGGAACGGCATCAAACACATCAAACATATGGAAACCACGTTTGACTCCGTTCCATTAATTCCATTCCATTACAATGACCCCGTCCTCCTATTGCTCCTCCCACCAGCCTCCACTGACACACACATATGCATGCACAAAAACTCATCACCACCATCATGTGTCATGCATGTGCAGCGGCTGCTCCTCCAGCGATCCCTCCCTGCCCTGTTGAAAGCTCAGAGTGAGTAGATACCAGATGAAGTCAATGTGAGGTGTTCTTTTTCCCTCTTATCAACTCCATCACCTGGTTGCCGTCTTATGGGGCTAGTGGAGTTGAACAACAACAAGAGAATGGGTTCAATATAAGCGGCAATGGATCGCTGATGGATTTCTCCTGTCAAGAGTTCAATATCCTTCAATGTCTCATTCTTCCATCATTCTTATTTCATTCAATGAAATTAAACTACATGTACACTAAGGGTTCCAAAAGGGTTCTTTGGCTGTCCCCATAGGAGAACCCTATTTGGTTCCACGTAGAACACTTTTGGGTTCCATGTAGAACCCTCTGTGGAAAGTGTTCTACTTGGAACCAAAACGGTTCTACCTGAAACCAAAAAGGATTTATCAAAGGGTTCTCATATGGGGACAGTGTATGGTTAACCATGTTGAGACAGAGGAACTTTCCAGGACAGACTACTCAGCATGTGTTGCTGAAGACCAAAGGAGGAGAGAAAAAGAGGAGAATGTGGAAAAACCCACACTGGACTGGCACGCCGAGCTGTTGATGGAAAAGTGGGTAGCCTCGTTTAGTGGGGGTTGGCATGGAGGGGAGGAGGAGAGGGTCTGTGTTTTACTAAGAGGTCCCTGTTTACTTCTAGCTGAGTGATCCCAGCCACCACCCTCCAACCAGCACAAGTTTCCAAGGTAATATGTTATCTGGCCATGGCCGGCTGACAGACATTAGGCCTGTTCTTTGCCTGCTGGTGCTGTTTGCTCCACAAACCATCATCTTCCTCAGGGAGCTAAAAATAACACTAGCATGGTCACACTGTGCAGCCCACCACACACGTACACACACATCCTACAATTGTAATTTCATGTCCCCCCCAACTGCACTAATGGAGCGGATGGCTTTCCCTTGAGAAGCAAGGTCAGGGAGGGGGGACACAAGTGAACATGTGTGTGGGGTGTGGAGGGGAGGGGGGGACCCAGGTGAGAGATGCATGATCCAAGTGTGTTTTGTTGGAACTCTTCCCTGCTGGTAGAATAGGATACATTTTTGCTATATTTAATCATGCAAACTTTGTAAATCCATTACAAACCTATTGATATTTTCTAGCCAGCTAAGGGACTGCTACTGGTGTGAGAGGGGAGAACGTTGTTATTTACAACTGAAGGAGGACACTAACTGTGGCTGATCTCTGCTATGCAGCATGTCACTGTGAAGTTGTTTACTCAGTCAAGAGCCTCTTGTTGTCACGGATTCTGCCGAGGCTGCTCCTCCTCCTTGCTCGGGCAGGCTTCGGCGTTCGTCGTCCCCGGAGTACTAGCTACTGCCGATCGATGTTTCGGTGTTTGTCTTGTTTTGTCTTGAGTAGTTACACCTGTTGTCTATTATGTTTGATTGTATATCCTATAATTACCCTTGTCTCACGTTTGGTATTTGTGTGTTATTGTTTTGTGTCTAGGCGGTATCGGCATCGCTTTTGTCTTATTACGTGTATGGTGTTTTTTCCCTCCTGGTTCGGAGGTTTTGTTTTGTTCTTTACATTTAGTAAAGTACGTCTGCTAGTATCTCTGTGTCCTGCGCTTGACTTCACCTACCGCATACACGTCGCTCCTGACAGAATAACACACCTCACCATGGAGTCAGCAGGATCAGCGGTGCCAACGGGATCATTGGAGGAGCGCGTAAGCCACCAAGACGCCATGATCCAGAAACTGGGCACCGCCATGCAAGATGTGATGAACACCTTGAGCCGATGGGAGAGAGGAGGTTTGCCCACACCTCCTCCAACAATACCACCACCCTCAGCCATACCCATCGTTCCATCTCCGGAGTCCAGTGGGATTCGGCTCTCGCTCCCGAGGGCTTATGATGGCACCGCGGCCGGGTGTCAGGGTTCCCTGCTCCAAGTAGAACTCTACCTGGCAACCATTCACCCGGCGCCCTCGGGATACGAGAGCGTTTCCGCCCTCATCTCCTGTCTGTCCGGCAAGGCACTGGAGTGGGCCAACGCCGAGTGGGGGGGAATAGACGCCGCTACAGTAAACTATGCGGAGTTCACCCGCCGCTTCAGGGCGGTTTTCGATCATCCCCCAGAGGGGAAAGCGGCGGGGGAGCGTCTGTTCCACCTCAGACAGGGGAAGAGGAGCGCGCAGGAATTCGCACTGGATTTCCGGACTCTGGCGGCCAATGCGGGATGGAATGAGAGGGCCCTCATCGACCACTATAGGTGCAGCCTACGGGAGGACGTTCGCCGAGAGTTGGCCTGCAGGGACACCAACCTAAGTTTCGATCAGCTGGTGGACATGTCGATTCGTCTGGATACCCTGTTGGCTACCCGCGGACGTCCGGGGCTGGGGCCGTCCATTCCATCCCCCAGCACCTCTGAGCCGAGCCCTATGGAGCTCGGGGGTGCTGGTGCTAGAGAGAAGAAGAGAGAGACCAGGAGAGAGGTCGTCCCCTGAACCAACTGTGGCCGCAGAGGACACACTGCGGTTCGGTGCTGGGGAGGGTCTCCTAGGGATCGAGGCAGCAGGCCACGCATTGATGAGTCATTCCAGGTGAGTAAGCGCCCAACTCACCCAGAGCTCTCTGTTGTCCACATGTGTATCCAAGTTGTGTTTCCCGAGGTTTCTTCTCACTCCCAGCATAAGGCGCTAGTCGATTCAGGCGCAGCTGGGAATTTTATTGATCGCAGTTTCTCGTATAAGTTAGGGATTCCCCTCATACCAGTTGATGTGCCCTTCCCTATCCATGCCCTAGACAGCCGCCCTTTGGGGTCGGGATTGATTAGGGAGGTCACAGCGCCACTTAAGATGAAGACGCAAAGGGGTCATGAGGAGATTATACAGTTGTATTTGATTGACTCTCCTGCGTTTCCCGTGGTGTTGGGGCTTCCCTGGTTGATATCTCATGACCCCAACATTTCATGGCAACAGAGGGCTCTCAGGGAATGGTCTGATCAGTGTGTCGGGCGGTGTATAGGTGTTTCCGTAGGGGCAACGACGGTGGAAAGTCCGAACCAAATGCCCGCACTGCACATTCCTCCTGAGTCTACAGATTTGGCACTCGTCTTCAGTAAGAAGAGGGCGACTCAATTACCACCTCATAGACAGGGGGATTGTGCGATAGACCTCCAGGCAGGCGCTGCACTTCCGCATAGTCATGTGTATCCTCTGTCTCAAGAGGAGACGGCGGCTATAGAGACATACGTCACCGAATCTCTGGGACAGGGATACATACGGCCATCCACTTCTCCTGCGTCCTCGAGTTTCTTTTTTGTGAAGAAGAAGGATGGGGGTTTGTGCCCGTGTATTCATTACCGTGGTCTCAATCAGATTACCATTAAATACAGTTATCCTCTCCCTCTGATTGCGAGTATGACGGAGTCATTACACGGGGTGCGATTCTTCATAAAATTGGATCTCAGGAGCGCTTACAACCTGGTGCGCATTAGGGAGGGAGATGAATGGAAAACAGCATTTAGTACCACCTCGGGTCACTATGAGTATCTCGTCATGCCATACAGGTTAATGAATGCTCCTTCAGTCTTCCAATCATTTGTGGACGAGATTTTCCGGGACTTGCATGGACAGGGTGTAGTGGTGTATATTGATGACATTCTAATATACTCCGCTACACGAGCCGAGCATGTGTCCCTGGTGCGTCGGGTGTTGGGTAGGCTGTTGGAGCATGACTTGTATGTGAAGGCGGAGAAATGCCTGTTTTCCAGGAGTCCATCTCCTTCCTGGGACATCGGTTGTCCGCGTCAGGGGTGGAGATGGAGATTGACCGCATTTCAGCCGTGCGTAATTTGCAGACTCCCACCACGGTTAAGGAGGTGCAGCGGTTTTTGGGTTTTGCCAATTACTACCGGAGGTTTATCCGGGGTTTTGGACAGGTAGCAGCTCCCATCACCTCCCTGCTAAAGGGGGGCCCGGTGCGTTTGCAGTGGTCGGCTGAGGCGGACAGGGCGTTTAGACATCTGAAGGACCTGTTCACCTCGGTTCCGGTGCTGGCACATCCGGACCCCTCTTTGGCGTTCCAAGTGGAGGTGGATGCGTCCGAGGCGGGGATTGGTGCTGTACTGTCTCAATGCTCGGGCACGCCTCCTAAACTCCGTCCCTGTGCCTTTTATTCTAAGAAGCTCAGTCCGGCGGAACAAAATTATGACGTGGGGGACAGGGAGCTGCTAGCGGTGGTTCAAGCCCTGAAGGTGTGGAGGCATTGGCTTGAGGGGGCTAAACACCCTTTCTTCATTCTGACTGA